GTAAGCGTTTTCGGAAAACAGGAAGATAAGAGTCCACTCATTTTTCACCGTAAAAGAAAAGATAGTCAGTTAAAGCACATATTGAGAAAGGTAATTTCACTGAAATAAAAATAACACATTTTAAAAAGAAGAGGTAGAGCAGATGTTCTGAACACATTAAATAAAGCTCTTACAATGAACACAGAAAGGAATAAAAACAAAGAAAGAAGAAAGAAAGTAAATGAGAAAATAATTACCGCCCATCACTACTTGTGGTGTTGTTATCCTTGCTCTTGTTGCTTTCGCCCACAATCCCCTCAAAGCCATTTGCGACAACACCTGCACAGGAGAGGGGTGGGGTGGGGGAACATCTGCAGCCTGGGAGCCACGAAGACCCATTTGGCCACCTTCTCCTGGCAGATCTATCCTTGTGTGTTGGCACATACATATCCGCATGACGGCACCTAACGCCGCTCATGCCACCTGTAGATTCTGAGGAGTGGCAATCTCAACGGATGAGTGTTCATCAATCTTCAATGGAGACTTTGCACTGTCAAGGGGGACTGGTAGCTGTATTATTTGTTCTGTGTCGGTTCTTGTAGCCGCTTCTTCTTCTTCTTTTATCGCTTGAAGCTTTCGCTTGCGTCGAATGCAGCAAAAAATCGGGATAGCAATAGCGAAGGCAAGTGGAATCGGGGAAAAAACAATCAGCAAAATACCAGTCCGCTTTCTCTCATTGTCCCCAAAAGTCCATGCAACAAAAGTAACACCCATCCCGACCATCGTGCCAAAGCCCCCTAGCAGGACAATCACCACAAAAACCAAGGCCGTAGCGAATGGGCACATCGGCATCACCCGGTGACGTCGGCAGGTGTAGGAGAAGAGAAGAACAAGAACAGCCACAAAGGGCACAGGACACAAGTACAACAAAACCAAACCCAAAGTTCCATTGGATGATTCTGCCCCAAACGCAAGGAGACAACCCGCAGTCAGAAGACCCGCACACACCAGAACCAGGAGAGAAATACATATAGAGAGCCAGTACCTACAGCAAGATGAGTTCTCTGACATTGTTTCCCTTTGCTTGTTTGCGTGTATGAGTGTGTTTTCCTTGTTTTTTTTTTCCTTTATTCAGTACCATTAAAATAAAAAGAAGGAAAAAAGCATGTGGACACAAGGTCAATGTAATAGCTAAGAGACTAAAAGCAGGTATTTTTTTTCTTTTTTGGCAACACACACATAAAGAGACGTAAACTCACC